TTCATGCTTGAGCTAAAACGATTTCGCAAAGCACGGTTCCTGTTTTTAGCAGACCGCTGTGTCAATACCAGCAGGTCCAACCAGGCCTCACCACAATGATACCTTCTGTCCTACATTAAGTCATCGACCTCCACCGCAACTGTGTGTTTCTACTCCAGCTTTCATTCGGAAAAATTATTAGTGTTGATACAACCGTGTTCCAAACAAAGATTCAAGGCCAGTTGAACATGAACACACACCCTTATATGAAACCTCAGAATGGTTTCTGGGCATATTTACTCTTGGCAAGTGTATATGCATCCGGTGAAAAGGGACGACAGTTTAAGATCCACAGACCGCCCCGTGTAAACATGCAATGTCTTAAAGAGGAGCTGGCTGGTTTAAGCGAGGCCACGTGAAGGGAAATGGCTTCCATATGTCAGGAGCTGAAGCCTTCCTCGTGCCCTGTTTGCAGGACGAGGGTTGATAGGAATTATAAAACCTGATGAAGAGGAAATGGAGGAGTGAAGTTGAAGTTCTCTTAGGCGAAAGAAATGTGCAAAACCCTGCGGTACAGCTTTGATGTAAATCTTAAATCAGGTGTAACTAAGACGGTACCTCTCCCGCATTCGCATATCGGCACACACACGGGGTGAACATTCCTGCACACACACTGCACTTTGTCAGATTATTTCCTTTCGTCATGTTGATTTATGCATTCTGGCAGATGCTAAGACGATCACGACCCTGCAGAGAGCAGCTGAACGCGGACACTCTTTTCTCTCACAAGAGCAGAGACACACCACACTCCTCCAAAACATCCATCTCTCCGCTGTCCTCCTCAAATCCCCTCACACCTGGCTCTGCCCCCCCCCCCCCCCCCCCCGAGACCTCTTTTTCACTTCTTCTTTTCAAGTTCTGTTGTCTCCTAAGTCTTCTTTCTCTGTCCACCATTCCCTCCCCAGTTCATAGTCCATATCATATCAGCACATGCTCAGCACTGACTACTGTTCATGATCTACCTTCCCTCCCTTGTATCCCCTCGACCCCCCCCTACCCCCCATCTCTTTCAACTTTTCTTTCCCTTTTATAGACTGTATACAAGAAGTGTTCCCCAATTGGGTTGTGAACTCCATCTTTTGAAACCTTGAGTTCTGTATTTTGATCTTTGTCCTCTTGGTTTTTTGGAACCACAGTTGCCAATATTATGACAACAGGTTGGAAACGCTTCTTGTTGACCGCTAGCAGTGGCTTTAAAGCATACTCTGTCTTGATTGTCAATTTCACTCCAAAAAGGAGATTTGAAGATGTAATTTTGCTTCCTGATGCCAATTTCATAGTATTGGCCAATTATGAGTAGCCATAGAAAACAAGTACAAGTTCAAAGATATTCATAATATTGGCTGAAAACACAGATTACTGATGTTTTGCGAGCTCTTACTAACTTTACGCTCTCTACTAGCACCGCACCGTTGTTGTTTCTTATTGTCACATTATGTTTTACCTGCAGCTAGTTGTGGTTTCTTGGACTTTGTATTGTTGCAATGAAAGGTGACATGACGATTCCTGATTCTGCATTTTAGCCGTACTGAGGCAAATACCGATTTTGATGTTGGTGTCAGGACAACACATCTCCAAATGCTACCATTATATACAAAAAGAAGACTTGACTTGCACTTGAGACCATATACAAAATGTATTATGCAAAAAAGTTTATTGAGGTAATAGATGAAGTCAAGAAATTTATTGAGTCGCCCCCTGCTGGTCATTTGTCAAAATGCAGGTTAAATGCACTTCTGCTTGAGCTTCATTTTTTCAACCAGAGACAATCCCTTCTTTGTGTTTACCGTCTGCCTTCCCTTTTCTCCTCATCAGGCAAAACACACATCATCACCTGTCACCATCTCTTTTTGTAAATCAACTTGTCTGCTCTTTATTTTAACCAACTCTTTTGTTTATAGTGCTCCAGACCTTCCAGTAGGACTCTGGTTCTTATTCGGTAATTTAATTGGAAAAACAAGGCAAGTGGAGGCATTTAGCCAGGGTCAGTGTAAGGAGATGCAGCCAACGCATGACAGGGTTAATCAGTGTCAGGGCAGCCAGAGTGGGCGTCTGGCTCTCCTCTAGCAGGCATGAGGAGGGCCAGACGAGGGGAAAAAAGTCACACAACCTTTCCTTCTGGGGCTTCGATTCTAAATCGAAAATGTCTGTCAACTTTGTACACAGCCGTTGCAAGGCCATTAGGATATTTTGTTTCCATATTCGTCAAATGGAAACTACATCTGGGAATATCAAGATTTTTATTCTATACTGTTTCTCTCCAATTGTTCTTTTTATGACCAATAGCTGAGCAGGTTATTTTTGAGTTTGCCCTCGCTGCATGTGCTCCTGAATAAAAGTGTGTGTACGTGTGAGTTTGTGTACGTGTGTGTTTTCTTGCGAGGTCAGCCATGTGACATCAAAGTGCCAAAGCGTCACATCTGCAGCTGTGTTGTGATCTGTTTAAGTGAGGCATGTAAATGGTGGCGTGTGGGCGCACGACTTGCTTATCGTAAACACACTCGTTCACGCACCTGTTTTGAAGGACCGCCGTGTGCCCTCAGCTTTGCTTGCAAGGCGTGGAGGGAGTAAAACAATCTCTGGTGGATCTGGTGACTGGAGACGTGCAGAATCACACCAATCGAATGCGGGTTGGAAACAGAAAATCCCATGACCATGATCCCTCAGTGGGTCACCTTTGCACACTTTGTACAATGAGGCTGAGATTCCTCGGAGGACTTCCTCACGTACACCTGCCTCAGCATCACTGGGGCATGTTGTCGCACACTTTAACGTGGTGAAAGCCGTTAAAATCTTCCCATAACCCCTTTGGGCTCATTACAGAAAGACCGCTGAAGTTTCTAAGTGTGAATTCCTGTGTACACACATGTCTGTGTGTTTCTCTCTGTCCTCATGTGTGCGAATGTGTGAGTGTTGTTTCCGCTCCTCAGTGCTCATTATTTGCCCGGCCTGAGCTCTTTCATTAGGGGAGCTGTGAAGTGGAGGGACGGCAGGGCCGGTTGGGGATCAGGGGAAGGGGCGGAGGTCGTAATTGGGCTGTTCCGCTCCCCTGGCCTTGCTCAAGGTCACTGCCAGACAAACTCCAGGGCCAGGTCTTTCACTCTTTTTTTTCCCCTTCCTTTTTCTCTCATCTTTTCCCACCTCTCCACCTCCCTCTTAAACCCTCACTTTTCCTCTCCCTCCCTCCCTCGCCCATCCTCTCCTCCTCCTGGGGTCTTTTGTCACAGTAGACTGGTCCGCCAGGGAGCCTCAGAGAAGTGGAGGGGCTAATTCAGTCTAATCTCTGAGCCTGTTAATGTCTGGCTGATATGTGGATTTCTCCTCATCCTCAGGGGACGGCCTTTGTGGAGAAGGCCATCATTATGAAGTTACCGAGCCCTCCTAGCCAATTATAAGAAGGGAGACAAATTAGTTCATCTTCGGCACATGAGAAGTTTTCTGGATTGTTCCTAACTTTATTTCTCATCTCAAACTATGGAGACAATTCAGGCCGATAAGAAGAAAAAGCCTGAGAGTGCGGCGTTCTATTTAAAGGCGAGATTGTGCATCTTGTGTGAGACTTGCCGGTGGATTTTGTACAACATTGTACTTGTCATGTGCAATTCTGTACGGGGTTTCAGTTTCGGCGGTGTGGTGTTGCTTGTCTGGCGCTGGCCGGCGGTGAGCTCGGTCTAACGTTTCCCTCTGATTAAGACGCAGTGGTGAAAGCTGCCTTTGATCTGAGGAAATGTCTGCGTAGGGAGCAGTTGGAATGCAGCGCTCTCCTCTCCGCCTCGCAGATGGAGGCAGAGAGATAGTGTCACAGTCCGTTTGTCTGGCTCTGCCACTGGCTGCACACCCACGGGAGGAAAGTTTGGACGGTCAGAGTCCAACCAGGCTCCAAATCGAATGAACATGATGTTGCTGTAGAAAGTCAACTGATGTTGTGTTTACACAATGTGAATGACACAGGATCATCGTCCACATCTCATGACTTATTTAATCTGGTTTCAAACTTCAAAAGGTCCAGGTCATGCAAAAAAAGATATTTAGACTGTTTTTAGTGTTTACAATTTTGATTGCTGTTGTTTTTAAATGTGAGTCAATGGAAACAAAAAAAAAAAGAGCAAATTTGTTGTGAATAAGAAAATGCCTCTCTGTTTTTTAAGAGTATTTCACAAACCTTGATTCCTTGCCATTCAAAGCCAATGGCAGTATGTTTGTAGTGAAGAATGTCCAATTGTTGGACTCATGCAACACATTCTGATTTTCAGAGAACACGATATAAATAGTTTTGCTTTCTTTCCTCCCAAGTCCTCCCCTTACTTTTCTTTGTTTATGAATAGAAATCATGTTAAATCTTAGAGCTTGGCTTGACCACAGACACGCTGAATAATATTTTCCCAACATTTTCTCTCAAAGCACAGTTTCCCAGAAAACTTAAAATTTAGGACAACATTGTTCTATTCTTGATCAACTTCCTGTCTAGTGCAGCGGCATATCCAGAGGCATTGTCCCCCCCCTTGAAATCTTATTGGCCATCCCCGAATTCCTTAACTATGATTGGTTATTTGCCTAACCAGAAGTGGTACTTGTGTCGAAATCTGCTATTCACACTTCACACGGAAATCTTACAAGGTGGTTGGCTGGAAAAAAAAAAAGCTGGGTGAAGTTGGGGAGAAAAACGTGGCCATTTGTGTTCACACATGTAGCTCACCTCTTTTTGTGGATATGAATGGATTTTGCAACCCCTTGTAAAAATGATGTTTGCTTTTGGTACAATAAAAAAAAAAATATATATATTTAACGACGAAAAAAAAAAGGCCAAGATTATCCTCCAATCTTATGAGCAGAATTGTTCAGAGTAATCACGTCATGTTCTTCTCCTAATGCGTATGATTTCTGAAGTCTTCTTGAAGTTCCAACGTTTAAAACATGTGCTCATGTTCTCCCTCTCTTCTCCCCTCTGTGTGACTCTGCAGACCTCCTTCACTGGCGGGCAGTCCAGCTTTCTCCGACATCTCCCTCATCCGGATCTCGCCCCAGCGGAACCCCTCTGTGGGGGCCGAGTCGCCCTTTCACCCTCCGCACCCCTACATCAACCCGTACATGGACTACATCCGCTCGCTCCACAGCAGCCCCTCCATCTCGGTTCTGTCGGCCACCCGGGGCCTCAGCCCTGCAGATGGTGAATAAAGAGAAACGTGCACAGACACACACACCTGCACACGACCCCAGCACAGAGGAAATTGATAACAAACCCTCAGTGGACCTCTAAGAATGATATTTTGTAATTGATTAGGGAGCTTTGATTGCTATAGGACGCATCCTGATTCTCTGTATGAGTTTAATTTCTCTTAGAGATCAGAGGAGGTCAGGTGAGAGGCAACAAGATCCATCTCTATTAAAACCAGGGGGGGAGGTCTTATCTGGGCGAGGGAGCCGGTGGATGGGAGTGTTATGAGTGCAGTGTGATCTTTGTGTGTGGGTGGGGGTGCAGGTTGGAGGGGAGGCTAATCCTTTTGATCTGTGAGTCATGTCACAGACCTCAGGAGGATGCATCAGTGAGCGGCAGGGTCACGTACAGTTACAACCAGCACACCCTAGGGGGGTTGGGGTTGGGGGGTGGGGGGGGGGTGGATCCAAGTTCAGGGTTGGGGGTGGGAGGTGCACGTTGTTATGGTTTCCTACAGGGAGCTTCTTTCCCCCTGGGGATCCTAAAGGTGGATTCAGACCAAGATATCAATTAAAGCAGACACACTGAAGCCAGCTTAATTAGAAATACGTCTGACACGGTTTAAGAAGGTCAGTGATGATAAATGACAATGTTTTCAAGATTCAATTTTAATAACAAGTAAAAAGCTGAAATAGGAAGATGATTTATCAGTTTGACAAAAAGTTAAATTACAAAACTGATGAGTTCATTATTGACGTTTGTTTAGTTCTTTAGCACACACAAAAATAAAAGCTTTCTACAATTCTGTGATTCTTCTCCAGTGCATGAAAGAATCACTTTTAGAGTCTCCATTATCTAACTAGTAGTGGTTAGTGTGCGCGCCCCATGTAACGTGACCATAGTCCTCCAAGCGGGCGGCCCAGGTTCGAATCCGACCTGTGGCTCCTTTCCTGCATGTCGTTCCCCGCTCTCTCTCTCTTCCTGATTTAGAGAGAGAGTGTGCGGTATCTACAATAAAGGCACAAAAGACTAAAGTATTATTCTTAAAAAAAAAAAAAAAAGGAGAAATGACTGAATGCTCAGTTCACTCCAAAGGTGTGGAAAGGTCAGATGGCTTTCTACGGCCCCTCCTGTCATCAGTGATCTTTCAGCAGCTGCAGCGTTAGAGACCCACTTTAGCTCCTCACCTCGTGTTGAAGTGTCTCCCTGAAGGGGGGGGGGGGCAGATAGTAGGGGCACTTCCTTTAAACCAGCTCCCTCCACTTCATGTCATCCACGTCTGTGTGAAGCTGTTTCTAAGTAAAGAAAAGTCGAGTCCCTGCTGGCAGCTTCACTCATCCCTCTCTCCTGCTCTCCAACATTCATGAACAGGAAGTATCTACTCCGGCTCAAACTCTAAACCCTCCAATTTTCCATTACCGCAACTTAATGTGCACCAGCTCCAGCTTGGTTTGAATCAAAATAGTTCCTTCAACCTACCACATGATCCCCCCCCCCCCCCCTTTCACTTCATAATGCTGTGAATTGTGAATGAGGCACCTAATTACTCCCTTTAATCAATCCGGTGATTAATTAACCCATCAGCCTTTGTGTTGTTAGTATATCACCACGCTTACAGGGAGACTCCTGCTTCAGTACGCTTTTTTTTTTTTCTCCAAAGCAAAAGTACATTTGAATAATGATGAATTAATTAACAGAATCTAATGGAGATTTAAAGTGGGTGGGATTTAGTGCCACCCTCTTGCTGCCACACATTTGCTTTTTTTCTCTTTTTGTGCCCCCCCTCCCTCACTCTTCTCCTCTCTCTTTCTCTGCGAGACGAGGTTCAGAGGTAGGCTCGCCCCTGATCCTATTGTAATGCTGAAGGAGCACCCGTTGGCTCACAGAGTCCCGAGGCAACTCTCTGCCTTTTTCCAAGTCGAGTGCCACACTGACAGCAATCCAACCCCGCCGCCCTCCCCACTTTTTTTTTTTTTTGCCCCCAGCATCGCACTCTGATGCCAGCATTTCTGATTTAGAAATTCCGCAAAGCCCCTTTTTTTTCCTGTGTGGATCCTGAATGGGCCACATTATGGTTGAATGCAAAAGCAAAGCTAAGGCGGAACACTGGAGACAATTAAGAAACTCCCCCCCCCCTTCTACTGAAGACATAATACCCAGATCGAATTAATTTAGAAATGTTCTTACATTCATTCAACCAATCATGGATGCATATTGCAGGCGTGCAGGCCAGCCTTAAGAGGAAATCTCCTCATACACTGTTTCTTTCTTTATTTTCTCTTTATTTCCTCAATAAGGGGGGAAAACGATCCGCAGCACTCTGTGAGTCTCAACTGATTCTATATTTGCATCCAAAACCACAGTGTTAGTCTTTTCCTTCTCTCTTTCTTTGAATATTTGCATAAGGAAGCCCACCACCAGATGTTTATTTTTAGGCTCCGGTTCAAGGACTTACGGAAAGTAATAACTGAGGGGCCGACTTGGAAAAGAGAGGCAATCGTTTGCTGCATCTTTATGCATGCAGATATATCTGGGCAGACGTAGGCATCCCTTTTGTTTTCACATGCAGCACAAATGGTCTTTTATGTGCAATTTAATACCTTTTGGTTTCTGAATTCTGATGAGACATCATTTGCAACTTTAAGATTTCAGCTTTGACTTTCAAACATTTAATTGCACCTCCTAAAAAAAAAAAGTATTTTCTGCAGAAATGAATGAAAGAACAATCAAGTATTAAATGTTGCAATCTTATTTTTTGAAGTGCCGACTTTGCAGACAACAAATTAAAAAGTAATCTGCTGTAAATGATTCTAGATTTGCATCTAAAACCAAACTGTAAATTTGTGCTTTTTTTCCCCCTCTTTGAATATTTGCATAAGGAAGCCCACCACCAGATCTTTATTTTTAGGCTATGGTTCAAGGACTTACAAGATGAAACAGCTAACGGAATGACTTGGAAAAAAAAAGAGGCATTTAGAGAGAGAGAGAGAGAGAGAGAGAGAGAAAAAAAGAAAGTGGCAGAATCGACCGCTGCATCTTTATGCATGGAGATATATCTGGAGAGATTTAGGCCTTTTGTTTGCAAACGCAGTTTAAAGGAGCAGGTTGCATATCTGCACACTGCAGCCCTGATGTGTAACAACACACAAGCAGAATCTCTGGCAAAAGATGTGTCAGCCCACATACTCTTACCACACACGCACACACACACATATAAACATATAAACACTCTCTCTAAAGTGATCAAGGAACAGGGAGAAGAAGAGAAAAGGCTGTTTAAGAAATGTATTGTAAGACGATCAGTTCTGCCGTGCTCGGTGTGAATGCATCAATCAAACACTAATGCACACTCACTGTAATCTCTGAGCAAGCACTCGGTAATCCCTAGTGAGGCTCTCCACTTCAGGTGATGCTCCCCGTGCAGCTGTTTTGCTAAACTTGAGGGTGTTGCTAATGTGCTCATTACTGTTCTGCTGAGCTGATTAGCATCTGATGTAAATGAACTCAGGTTTGTGATGCAGCACAGGTGCTCGGCCTGTCGAGTTTTTCCCACTGCCTAATTCTTTTTCTTTTCTCTTCTTCAATGACTCAATCTTATACCTTTTACATTTGTGCTCCACTCTGACTGAATCCTTCTTCTCCTCCTCCTCCAGCCCCTCACACAGGCCTAACCACAGCAGAGTACTACCACCAGATGGCTCTGCTCGCAGGCCACCGTAGCCCCTACGCCACCGACCTGCTCCCCTCTGTGGCGTCCACAGCCGGCGCCAGCAGTGCCAGCGCCCTGCACATGGAGTACCTGCAGGCCATGGAGAGTAAGTCCTCACTGACCTCACACAGTTCATGACACACTCCTGTGCATTCTTAGTATCTCATCAGGTTTGAGCTGGGATGGTTCATTTGGCTCTTAAATGTTACATTTACACGATCCATAACTGATCCAGGATCAGCTGAACTAAAGTGCAAGACTTACAGACCTTTGGAGTATTCTTCCAAACCAAAAAAAATGTATGTTAATTTTTGACACCAATGTGGGGGGCTCAGCTTTTCTGAAATTCAAGAGGCTGATTCCAAGGAAATGTATTTCACTATATGTATCTCTGAATGTCTGACTTCTCATGAGCTGCAGCAACAAAATCACCCCTGTTTTCAATCCTGAAAAGAAAACAGCCTGTTTTTATTTGTAAGAAGAATTAGAGTCTAAAGTCACAAACAGGGGTTACAAATGTTCACACATCATTTACTTAAGAAGAAGAACAGAGTCTTTCAGCAGAAGCAAAGGCACTGATTCATCTAATTTATATGAAACTAAAGTCATCAATTATAGAAAGATTAGTGGGAAAAAAACATCTGAAATATTGGTACACAAGAACGGATACCTGAGATAATTATTACTACAGTGATGAAGCATTTATACCTTTTTTTTTTTAGATACTTGTGTAAAAGAACACATGATCCCAATTTTTTTGTCTGGAAAAAAAAAATCAAGATTGCAACACAGAAAACGGAAAAAGGTTTTGGCAACAGAATATATCGGGGTGAAATCTTCTTTCTGTTTTATTAAACATTTAGATGCACATCAATTATTTCAGCCACCTTTAGATAAAAAAATTCTGTAAGTATCATTCACAAGATATATTCTCAAATATTTCTATAATGATTAAAATAAATTATGTCAAGGAAATTATGTGAAAAGAAAAGTTTCAGGAAAAAGGCACTGGATGGCCTAGCGGTTGTGGCGCATTCCCAATGTACAGAGGCTGTAGTCCTCCGTGGGTTTGAATCCGGGCCTCGGCCCTTTGCTGCATGTCCACTCTCTCCTCCCAGCACATCCCGTCTCTCTTCTAATGTCCTATTTATAAAATCAAAAAGGCCCCCAAAATTTTGAACAAGTGAAAGAACGACATTTTTGATCCTCATGGAGCTCAACAGATAAAAAAAATAAACTCACCAAGTCTTTGTCTGCTGGGATTCCACAGTTAAGTGTTATGAGTGCATTCCTGCAGCAGATTATAGCATGGGTGGCCCCAGAGGGAATTGCACCTCTAAAATGCACCTTGACAATTCACCTATCTTGTTCTATTTATAGAAGAAGCTGCAGCTCCGTCGCGGCGAGGAGGGACCTGCAACTTCGACTGTGACACGATTTAAATGAGCTTTTGTCTTAATGTGTTGGGCTCAGGACTGTGTGCAGAGGACTTATGCTAATGAGTTATTTTAAAGTGTAAATAGGAAATTAAACGCACAGTGAATCTTAAAAAGGTCGCGCAGCCTCACCCCCGCTCCCTTTGATGAGAATGTATTTAGTCAGGCAGACGCCGCTTTCATGGAAATCCGGGGTGAAGTTCCCCCGATTCCTCTGAACAAACTAATTAAAACTAGCCAAACTTGTGCGGGTATCAGAAAATTAATTGCTATTAAGTGGGAATTGGAATGTCCCGCCATTCATCACCGGAGAAATCCTTTCTTCTGTGTCACTTTTTAAGATTAATAGACTGAAACAAAACAATTAGGGCCATATTTGAGAGGAGATGTGATGCTCCTCACTTTTAAAAAAAACAAAAAAACGTCTGTGATCATTGCTGGTAATAACTCGTAGCGTTTCAACAATGTGTGTTCCAACGCCAGAGAAATTAACACTCCAAAGCTTTGTTGGATTTGAGAAAGAAAAAAAAAAAAACACACATACAAAGAAGAGACTATCAAGAGGCTTGTGCTGATAATCTGGGCTACTACGTTACTGCGGCTGTTTGAGTCTTTTTCACATCAGTGTAATTAGCTTCAGTGAGAGCAGTGCTAATGACACAATGAGCCTGTCCTGCCTTTTCCTGCTTTAATGGGCTATTGTCTATGTTCGCACAGCCTAATTAGTGCCATAACTCTCTCAGATCACAACACTGAAGTCTGTGTTGGCGCTATTTATAAGTGAACTTTACATTTCTACGCTATTTATTCCACTAATCGGACGTTTTTCTCATAAATAGGCTCTCTTTAAGTAACATTTTGAACAGCAGAAATCTTTCTTTAATGTTGATAATTGATCGAATGACTGGAAAGACATTTTCTGCATGATTCACAAACAGGCAAAAAATGGAAAATATACAGAAAAAAGTGGGATTTAATGCGTCTTCAGTCATCACACTGCAGAAATGTTTGAAAAGCAAATGATTCCAAAATGCAAAAACACATATTTTGCATTTTTTTGTACATGTGATATTCAGGTGTTTTTTTTCCATAAGGGAGTTGTAGTTTTTTAAGAAAACCTTATGAGGTTTAATTCCCACAGAAAGCCAATAACTGAATCCATTCAGAATCAGTTTTTTAAAACATTTCAATGACCAAAAAGTATAAAACATATAAAGAAAATAATCCTGAGAGGAATGTCTTTAATTCAGGTCCAGATTTATTATACAATACAATACAAGTTTTCTGTTGCACAAAGAAACGATAATTCTGGGTAGTATAAAACCCCGTCGCTCTTGAAAGCGTCGCTCTCAGGTGGCCCGAGGTGTGTCAGCGAGGGTTCAACTTCACTTTTGGAGCCGGCCTTTTATATTTCTTAACGCCGTCAGTCTGTCCTGTCTGAAAGCCTCCCCGACCACGAGAATTAATGACGCGGCACGTAACCGGCCGTCCCATCCATAAATCAAGAGGAAATTAGAGGGACAGTCCTGCAACGAGCCGGGACGCTCCTCTCTCTCTGCCCCCCTTCCCCTCCAACGGTTGACCGATTTATCATTTGGGCTGTGCATTAATAAACACAACTCCCATGAGGCTTTGCAGTAGTGGGACTCTGGCCCTGGCTTCCCTCTCTGACATGCTGTGGTGGATTCAGCTTGTTTTTTTTGTTTTTTTTAAAGTGTCAGGTGTTTCAGATTTTGGATGTTGAGGTTGAACTCGTCCAAAAAGAGAATAAAAGATGTTTTTCTCCTCTCAGGTTTGTTTCGTTAGCTGAATGACACAGTGAAAAATGAAATGTGTCGAGGGGTGTAACATCCATACTACACTGTTTTTAACAAATGTGTGTGCGCTCAGGGATTTGTAGGCTTATATGTCGTCCTCCCCTCCGACACTAATGCACACAAAAAGGCATATTTTCCATACAATGACGACGTAAAGGGGGTGTTGCTCTCCATACAGCTTCATGCAGCAGAGGAAACTCAGGCCTACGTATGCCAGAACACCACTGCTGCATCCACACACACACACACACACATTCCCATCCACACACTCTGATTACCATGTGAATGGAGCGCTCTGTAATCGTTGGATGTGTCAGACGAGAGATGGAGCATTTACGTTTCGGGAGATGGATGGATTGTGGGGGACGTAAATACGGAGGGGGGTTATCGGGGCTGCGTAAGCTGGTTTTGTTCGCCTTTTATCAAATAACTCAAAATGTTTTATTTCCAAGTCTTGAGTCACAAAGTCATTGTGTCAGTTCACGCACAAAGCACGACATCCCCTCAGCGCTTTCTTTCTTTCTCCCCTCCTTCCATCTCCCTCTGTTTTTCCCTGTCTTGTTTGTGACATCTCCATGTGAAAAGACAACAAAAGTCATGTTTTAATCTCTCCCCGTGGCTCATTGTATGCGCACAGAGAATGCATTCCGCCGATTCCGCCTTTTACCTTTTCAAACCCCCTTTTTAGTACTTCCAGTCAACACATTTGATTGCATTTGAATAACGAGTCAAATTGGACTTGATTAAATATTACCATACACCGTCAGAGCATTTCTCCAACATAAAAGGCATGTTTTCTCAGCGATGAAATGCAAGCAGTGCATCAAGTGACAGCCGAACACTCATTCAGACATGCCCTTTGTATGATGATTGACAAAAGTGTCATCTGTTGGGGTTAGATTAGGTTAGAGTTTGGATGAAGTCAAACACAAAATCACCGCTCTGTTCTCGTCTGTAACCAATGTGAAGATTTAGCAGACGCTCTTCTCCAAATCAACAGAATAAAAAACTGTTTCATTTACAGTTGTACACACATTATTTAAACCTTTTTACTTTTAGTCTTTTCCACTGCCTTACTCTTTTTTTCCCTCCTCCTTCTTCTTCATCCTGCAGATTCTCGTTTCTCGAGCCCGAGGCTGCCATCGCGGCCCAGCAGGAAGCGCCCTCTGCCCATCTCGCCGCTCTCCGAGCACAGCTTCGACCTGCAGACCATGATACGAAACTCACCCAACTCCCTCGTCACCATGCTCAACAACTCCCGCTCCAGCTCCTCCACCAGCGGCTCCTACGGCCACCTCTCTGCCGGCGCCATCAGGTAACCGCATCAACCGTTTTTATTCTGTTTTTATTCATCATTTATCCCTGAATGATGTCAGTAGTTTTTCTGATATCATTGATTGGTATTTTCCCAATTTTGGTGCAAAAACCCCATAAGGAAGGCACCGTGTTATTGCCTTGTTAAAACGCTTTAAGTTGTATAAAGCGTGAGAGACGGAGAAAGTATGTGGTGAGGGAATCAGAGTATGTGTTTGTGTGTATTGTTCGTATCAAACCCCCGTGTGGGTGACCATCTCCCAGCCAGCCAGTCAGCCTGCCTCCCCGGCGGCTTGTGTCAGTCATCCTGCAGGTACACCTCACCAAACATCACATACATCACGCCCCAGGACAAACAGCGAGCGAGAAAGGGGGAAGCAAAAGAAACGAAGAGAAAGTGCGCGAGGAAAGATCCATGGCCCCACCCACAGCCATTGATCAGCGATCTGTAAGAAGAGCCTGATCAATCACGCCGCTCGCTCAGCCACTGTCCTGGTGACAGGAGCCGAATAGCCCGGGCCAACAGACTGATGAGTGATATGACAAGCGGATAGGCCCCCAAATGTGTCTCGGCCCATTGATTTCCACTCGGCTCGTAATAAGATCAGCAGACGTATGGGTCGCAGCGAGAGCGAGGCGTCAGAGCGCAGGATGAATGTGGAGCCACACAGATGTGTGTTTATCCGCTGGTTCACCTGTGGTTAACACAGACCCCAGAGGAGGGTTTTGGTGGGCTTCTGGGATTTAGAGGATAAACAAAGTTAGCTCAGGGTTGAGGGTAAATAAACGAATTAATTTAGCTTTATTTACATGGCTATGCGACACACTCCAGTCGGTTTATCATCTGTATCATTTGCCCAGTGGAAGAATGACATACTGCCTTACACAGACCGCCCGATAATTCACAGTGTGTTAACAAGCTGAACATTCATTGGCAGGGATTTGCCTGTAGTCCCATGGTTCCAGCATTACCACACCATCTCCTGTCAGATTGTCCTCAGGGAAGAAGAACTATCCAGAATAATCCATTTATTCACTGTCTTTCCCCCTTTTTGTGCCTCATTGTCATTTCAACTAATGTTGAAGTGAAGTTGTATTATTATTTCCCCCAATATGACTGGTCAACCCTTCCTTCTGTCTGCTCTCTTTAGCCCAGCATTAAGCTTCGCCTACCCACCAACGCCTGTGGCTCTGCACGTGCACCAGCAGCTCATGGGCCGCCAACCGGGCCTCGTGGGCTCTGCTTTCGGCCACAGCCCGCCCCTCATCCACCCATCACCGGCCTTTGCCACCCAGAGGCCCGTACCCGGCATCCCCCCCTCGGGGCTCAGCGCCAGCGAGCGCTCGACCCTCTCCAACGACTCTTCACAGGTGAGAGCAGCCCGCGTGTGCCGGTGCGATTCATCATCACAGGTAATAGATGGCGTCGTCGGATGCCAGCCACATCTCAGAGTAACGCAGCGAGCTAACGTGGTACAGGCAGGACCCCCCTTCCACATGCTCCTCTCCTGGGAGCTTCCTCCTACTTGTGTTGTCTCTTGTTTTTTTAAGACTGCCGAGCACGCTGCAGAACGTGCCTGCAGCAAACAACAAGGGGCTTGTTAGCATAGAATCCCACTGCTGACTCCATTAATCACTAGAGAGAGAACACGGATATAGAGAGGAAATATTGACATGGATGGATGGATCCAAAGGGGCTTTTTCTCTCCTTCCACAGTCCTTACTGTATGTGCGGGCCGACACTTGAAGTAAATATTCAATGTTTATTACACCTCCCCCCTGCTGCTTACCAATGCTTGAATTTATGCTATTGGGTATGAGGCTACACTCAAATAGCCAAAATTGTCTTTTTCTTCTCCTGAATAGAAAGAAGATTGCTTTGGGGAAACAGATGAATCTCATGTCAGCAGAAAAGTTCGAAAAAAGAGACTCTTACAATTCATAGAAAACTGAGAGTGTTGCTTAAACTCCCAAATGTCCTGTCAGTAAATCCCAAACTTGACGTGAAAGTTTTCAAGAACAAAGAACAAACTATGCAGGACTTGCTTGTAAATTGTTTTATATTTTGTGAGCTTGCGTTGCAACAAGATTTCCCCCAAGGGTGAACTTAAGGCAGGGCCAAAGTTAGGTCATACTCTGGTTCAGTTAATGGCTCATTGAATTGGTCCATGAGTTTGTTTTAATTGCTGTGATTAGAGGAGCTAATGTGATACCGTGAATTGCACTGTTTTTCATTTGTATATTTAAAGCTCTTGCCTGGGACTGAGAGCACAGAAATCATTACGGTGCAGCCAGAGTAGTTTCTTCTGTTTGATTAGGCAAATGATTGAGAGACTTAAAAGCAGCACATGCATTTTTAATGCTTTTATAGAGGACTACATGTTAAATAATAAGCAAGGAATAAAATGGAATCATCTGCATATTGTCAAAAACGAAGCTGGGAATTTAGAAATATTTTCTGTGTCTTCAGACCAAACCAACAAGTGAATCTGCAGTGAGCAGCACAGGAGACCCCATGCACCACAAACGCTCCAAAATGAAACCAGAGGAAGATCTGCCGAGCCCAGGAGCAGTGAGCGTACAGGTGAGGATCACCTGCAGTTTCAGCTTTATTATATGTGTGTATGTGTTTGTTGCAGACTCCATAGAATATTCAGTAGCCGTCCACACTTCTTGCAAACACTATTTTTATATTTCCCTCTAGAATAGGAAGCCTATATAATGTCTGGTCAGGGGCCAAGACGGCTGCAACAACAGACAAGCTTACCAGCCACAGTTTGTATTTGTTTACCTGCATTTGGCTGCTCGTGGGTGTACGTTTCCCACACGGCTCTTATCAGTTCCTTTTTCTGTAGCGAAACAATTCATTGATCTTTGTGAAGCAGGGAGGAAATTGTTTTTTTATTTTGTTTGTGTGTGTGTGTGTGTGTGTGTGTGTGTGTGTGATACAAATTGTAGGTGGCTGGAAAAAAATGAAAGAGAAATATGATAAGAGTTATGTGTTTGAATCTGCAGAAGAAAAATTGGATGAATATTGGAACAGCAGCAGATGTGGTGGAAGCTCTCCTGAATGAGCCCACACCAGCTCTGTTGCTCCACTCAGCCACAAAACTGTGACAGTGAAATATGTCTGAGCTAATAGAGCAACCTACAACAGGAAAAGGGGGTTAGATTCCTCAAATACTGGCCCAGTGCTGCCGTATAACAACCCCGCAGGTACAGAGAGGGGCTTTCAGCGCTACATTTCCGCCCTCCAGACTTTTCTCCCAGGCAGCCAAACAAGGCCAGACTCACAGGGGCACCGTGGCTGAGACCTGTAACCAAATCATTTTTCACTAAGCCTTTCATGTAAACCAGCAGGGTGGTGCGAAAAAAATGAAATGTTATGACACATTTGGAGGGACAGTTCTTGACTTTTATACTTCAATATCAAGCCTTAAATAGACTATATTTATTTCCATTCATGTGTTTATTAAAGCAGAACTTTTTCCACTGATTTGACTCAGGACCATCCTGATGGGATGACCCTGGTGAAAGAGGAAGGGGACAAGGATGAGAACAAACAGGAGCCGGAGGTGGTTTACGAGACAAACTGCCATTGGGAGAACTGCTGCCGCGAGTTTGACACGCAGGAGCAGCTCGTACAAGTAAGTAGCACGGAAGCTAAAATGTTCCTTATTATTAAAAAAAACGTTGATACAAGCTACTTCAAGTCTAACTCCTGCACGGGGATTTGAATGTCCACATGGGCTTGCTCAAAGTTTTTCTCTTCTGTGGAAACTCCAAAAAAGCAGCTTAAGATATTTCAATATCAAGATTTCCTGTAAGCTAGTATAGGAGCATTTAGAACGTAACTTTTCACAGTTAAGAAAGACGTAATAAAGGCTATAAATCCCCTCTGTAACGATGTCGTGGTGCTACCAATACAAGTCAGAAATGCCTCGGAGTTAGCCAAAAATGTGGTAGCCTATAGGGTAGGCTAGTCAACGCACAAATTGGTTAGCAAAATGTATTAGCTTCACACACAAAAAAAATTGGCTTTCATTAAAACAGTAGCCTACACAGCAATACTGTTATGGTTACCAATAGCAACAAAGGAGATAAACAGCATTCACAGTCTTTTAGTTCTATGCTGTGATAGTTTTTCAGTGTTTCTTTCCTCAAGCTTTGTTGACCACAGCAACTTTAGCTGCCGCTGTACAAAACACAAAACCTCCTATTAGGCCTCAACTCCAGCCTGCGTGTCCCGCACAGCAGTGGCTTCCAGCACAGTGGAGTCCAGAGCTGCAGGCGTTGACTGATACTGCTGCTGGATGCCTGATTGGGTCCAGGGACGCTGGTAATGGGCTCAAAAAAAGCTGAACGGGGCTAACTGATTTGGCGGGTTAAGCCTCCCAGAGTCAGGGTGTGAGCTTTGTGTACAACACTGGTCGGTCCCTCCTCCTCCTGGCTGTTATCACAACTCTCACACAGCCCGGGAGATGGATGGCTCTCATCTTATTGCGCCAGAGGGGTCACCGTTAAGCTAAATATGAATGATATTATGGACTGTGCCCTCGTCCACTATAGGGCTACTTACACTGACGCTATTAGCTCTGCTGCTCTGTTGTGGCCCGTGAACCCATCATCCTCGGTCTGCAAACAGAGAGCACTGAAGTTGGAGAGAGTGGTGAAAATACACCAATATGATGCCCTGAACAAGGGATGCTGGAGCGTACACACACACACACACACACGAAACACACATCACAACACATCTGATAGAAAGATCCTCAGCTCTTCACAGCTGTCTATTTGCCGTCTTGACATTGCAATCCTCTGCCGCGGTGGTAACCCCTATCTATAATTGATATCCTCAGCGCGGAATGGGCTGCCTCCAGTGTTTGAAGGGCTCGGCTCAAAGGTTGAGGATCTTGACAACTTCTTGCCCCTGTTTCAGGAGGTGAGATGAGTAAAGGTGGTGCAGGAGGAGGAGGGGGGGGGGGGGGGGCTGAGCAAAAGCTCGCTCACATTCTCCCCCTACTGTAGTCGCACCAGGTGGCCATCAGAGCAACGAAACAATGTCCTCTCATACCTCTTCAACCTTGCCGAGCTGCACTTATTATCAGATCGCCAGCAAAATCCTTATTAGCTTCTCATTTTTTCCATCATGGAATTGTTTTTTTTTTTTTCCCCCCCTCGCATTGGACTTTCTGATATTGCATTTTATTTCTCATTTTCTATGCACATTGCAGATATGCAGAGAGATGCCAATAAAAGTCCTCGCCTACAGAGTCCCTGCCCTCTAATTCAGAAGCGCGGACGAGAAAATGCTCTTATCTCTCCGCACCCCCACCCCCCCCCTCAGTAATAGGATAAGTACAGTATTTGGACCACAGTGGCTCTCCTCGCACACTGGGAGGGGTTTGGGGATGGTGTGTGTGTGTGTGGGGGGGGGGGGGGTCCATACAACCAAACAATGGAGCGTCCCTTCCCCCTGTACTTGTCTTTCGAAATAGCTTTGGGGGGGAAAAAACATGATAAGAGAAAAAAACACCAGTTTCTCCTTGTTCGGTTAACCACCAGCCTTTGAATAAAGTTTATACAAAGATTTATACAAGTCTTAAAAACCTGAGTGCCGGTTTGACGATCTACGTCATTAAGTCGGTGTTTATTTGAAGTATTAAAAGTAGCAGTGGCACTGATCTGAACACGTCTTTCCCTTTGTGGTTGGCCTAATTTTAGAATTAAGCCTTCACACCACCCTCATCGCGTTCCACCTTGTTCAAAAGCGCTCCTGCCGCGCTCTTCATGCATATTTCTACACCCTCCAACGTGCTCTCACCATGACGTGCCACAGCGTTCCTTTTATCATCTGCGCTTAAGCGCTCTCGGTGCCGCCGATAAGATAAACATCAGATCTACGCAATTTAGCTCACTTATCTGGCCTACCCAGTCAGCAGAAGCGAGGCGGGTGTCAATTTTTCTTTGCTGTATTTATTTCATTTGTTACATTTCAACTCCCTGTACCTCTCCATCTCGCCCTCTCACAGCACAGCTCCACATTCTTTTGCTTCCCCCATTTTTGGGCATAAACCTCTCCCTCACTCATTTTCTCTTTCATTTTCTCCCCCTCCCCTCTTTCCCCTCGGAGCGAGTACTTTTAAAGATAAGGCCTGGTGGCTTCTTTAATGTCTCTCTTGAAGTGGTCCTTTTTTTTTTTTTTTTTCCTCTGGTTGTGTCGCCAGAGATGCCAACCCCACACTCCAATAATTCCCTAATATGGTCTTACTCAACAATCTTTTATTTTCTCAGGGATCTAATGCTGAGACTTCACTTCACAGTAATCTACAAGAGAGGGATGCATTTTTAGTGCCCTGGTATGATGAAAAAAATGTATGTAAGCAATATTTCCCAGTATTAAAGACTTTGAAGAGAAGCTGTGGAGTTGAGGGAGGACAAAAAATAGTGTGAAATGAAGTCGTGTAATTTATTGTTTTTTAAGCTTTATTAAACAAATCACTTTACTGTTTTGATTTAAAGCTCCTCACTTCTGGTTAGTGTCGCTTTTGGCGCCCCCTGTGGACATCTTGTCCCTTTAATAATCCATTCCTGTACATGCTTAGGTAGTGTTTTTTGCTGTGGAAAATGTAAATGAAGGCTGTTTCTTCAGCCTGCTGTAAAAAGTCTCCTCTGACATCTACCCCGGCAGCAGAGCTTACAGGCTTTAAAAATCACAATCTAGAAATGCTCAGTGTTGTCGCTGATGGAATCGTTTGCTTTCATAAGTCGTACAAAGGCATCACTGTTGATTTCAGCCGGTTTCATAACCACACAAAAACTCCTCACAGGAGCTTTAAAGTGTTTTTATCTTGGAAGACATTTCTGTTCTCGTGTGAACGTAACCTTTAACTGTTGAGCTGTTAGCCTTGTAAGAGACAGATTTCTCTCTCTTTTAGACTTATATATGAAGGCAGTCTGATTGGGGTTGGTGGTCTGTTTGTGTGTGTTCTCACAGCTCATCAGGCCTGTCCCACCCACCACAGTCTACCATCCTGTTCCAGGTCATCTACATAGGTGGCGCTGTGATGGGGGGGAGCTGGCTCTCCCCGTGTGCAGCCTTGTTGAGGCGGCTGCTGTGCGCCTCCCTGGTGTTAAAGCGAGATAAACGCGGGCGCAGTCTGAAGGCAGCCCCCCTCTCTCGCTGCCGGCAACGGCTTTTAATTGGTAAAATGCAGATTTTTTTTGATCAGGAGAAGGATTAGGCTCCTTATCTGTCAAGAGTATCTTACTCTAAGATGAAAAGACTGCGCTGAATTACACATGCCAATTCTAGCTCCCTGCCCCCTGCTCGCTTACTCACTCACTCTCCTCCTCCCTCCTTTCCTCGCTCACTCAATTTTTCCCTCTTTAACTTCCTCCCTCCTCCCTTACCTCCCTTCTTTTGCCTTTTTTTTTTCATGCTCCTCCCCCCCCCCTCTTTACACAAAGCACTTCAGCAACTGACATCACAAAAGAGCATATGATTTATTAGGCGATGTTTGATAAAGCTAAACGGTGTTGCGGGTCCCACAGCTTAGTGAAATTGCCTTGTAAACAGGCCCTCTTTTCATGCACACTTGCATTCTAATGCGTGAGGACTACGTCCCAGAGAGGGTTTGATAAGGAGACATGGAGATGGATACTGAAGTGGGCAAATGCTCGTAAATTGCCAGAAAGAAAATGTGGGATTCTGTGTGTTATAGTAATGTGTGTAGAGATGTGTGGGTTCCAGAATTTGCATAGAAGGAGGGCTTTTTTATTATTTTAAACCTAAATGTAAAACTGTGTGTTTTTCTGCAAATTAGGTTTATGGAGGTTTTAGCAATGCAACCATGCAGCAGGGGCCTGAACCAAAGTGTGTGTGTGTCTGTGTGTGTGTGTGTGTGTGTGTGTGTGTGTGTGTGTGTGTGTGTGTGTGCTTGCACCTCTCATACGTCACAGACGGCCCACAGTGTCCCCCGTGTCCGCGTCCCCAATGCTCCCTGTCGTGCGACTCTCCTCTAAATCCATCTTGGTGGCGTTTTTACAGTTGTTGGCCGATAAGCTGGCAGGGGGAAGATGAATAACCTGCCGCTCCGCTGCTATCAGCACCTGTTTGTCGATTTGGCCGGCCAACAGGGCCTGTCTGCTCAGCATGGAGATTATTGATTCAATAAGAATTGCCATTAGATCATGCCATTAGGCTCCTCGTCGGCCCCTCACCCCGTGCTGTCTGTCCCCCTCTTTGTCAGCTCGGAGGCTCATGCATCACACCCGTCAACAGCCTCCTTCATTTGTACAAACAGGGTGTGAGTGTGTATCCGTGTGTGTGTGTGTGTGTGTGTGTGTGCACGCGCTCGTGTTGTGCCAGCCACACCGCGTGATCCAGCACCGCAGCGTGCTCCCATCGCTCTCGGCCCCGGGGATATTGAACGCTGCTCACAACAGACCGATTGCTTGCCACAGGGATTCCCTCACAGAGAGGAAGAAAAAGAGAAGACGAGTCAGGTTCTTCTGAGGCTCTGACCGAGGTCGGCTGGAGATCAATCTTGGGGGGGGAACTTAACTAACGTCTGTGGTCATCCAGTCCCCAATCATTTTCTGTGGAATTAGTCTTGTTTTGTCACTTTGAAATTAAAAAATGTCAAGTGAGAATAATGGAGGCCCTTTGCAGATATATTAGTGTCAATTGTACTTTTTCCTTTTGCTGTTGTTCCCTGCTCTTACTACACTGACTCATTTTTCCAATACTCCTCCTTTGCTATGACTATAGAGGGTGTGAGTCAGTCGGAAGTGACTTGGGGTCAATAAGTCTTGGAAGAAAGATTGAAAATAGAGCAGTTCCTCGTGGATGCCATGGTCACGGTTCATGGTTCTATGGGGGTCACGATCTGGCCGGCAGGCAGGGCACAAGGAAGGTACAAAGATGCCTTTGTCGGAGCAGAGTCATGCCTTAAAGGGAACTGACCCTTGATTCTTTATTTACTTTGGTCCTGCATGGTTTAAAGCCGAACAATTTTGAGAGTAAGTGCTCAAAGAAAGCACGTCCTCCCCAGAGCATTCAGCTGAAAGTCTCTGTTTATCCCCCCCTTCCGCTCCTCCTGTTGCTTCTTCATTCCCCCTCAAGGTAAAAAAAAAGACTCTTCTTTGCTGCTCAGGAATGTAATAATACAGGTTTCTTTTGGTCAGGATATTGTGTCTGTCTCTCTGGGTTTGAATTGCTCCCAGAAAGGCACTTCAGAAGCCACCACAGTGATGCCTCTGAAAGACAGCCAGATGTTGACTTTGTCCCCAGAGGTTCTAAGTCAGCACGCCTCTTTTTTCCCCTCCTAGCCTTCTTCATTCCTCTGTAACATCCACCACTTACCTGGTTTAACAAGATAGTAAGTGAGAAAAGAAGAAGGAGACAGATAGAGAAGAGGGTAGAGGGAAAGGATGGGACATAAAAAATAAAAAAAAGGTGGTGCTCACAGATATAATGCTTGGCTGGACTTGTAAAGCCCTCACTTTTCAGATGCTGCGACTGAACTTCTGATTTCTTGCCCCCTTTTTTTTCCTCACCTCCCTCCTCATCTCATCTTCCTCCTAAGCCTCAGATTGGAAGTTGCCACGGCAGCACAACTGTCAGCACTTGTCATGGAGGGGGCAGGAGCCCAATGTGATGCGAAGTGACAGGGTTTTATTTGAAAATCCTGCTTGGAGACACACAGGACTCTGCGTTTGCCCTTTGTTTGTGCAGATTCCTAAAGAGTGATGGTGGAAATAAACAAGAGAAAGGGCGTACCAACAAAAGTAATAGATTAAAGGAATGCAAATCAGTATTTGCAGCTTATGTTATCGAGCAAACATTTCCTGATGAAGTTCAAGACGAGGTGACATTCGACCTCATTCACCAATATCTTCCTACGTTTTTTCTCAAACGTCTTCTTAAGATGATCTTTAGAAAAGTCTGAGGCAGATTCATGGAGCTGTTCAAAAACTGCAGAATTTTTCCCACCTGTGTTCTGAAATTGATGTTTGTAATGTCTTCATAAGTTGGAAGATTGTGCATGTTGTTCCTAATTAGCATAGAAAAAAAAGCCCCTTTAATGTCCATATAAGGGCATGAGACTGCAGGGCTGTGTACACACAGAAGTCACATTAAATTCAAGAATAGAAAAATCAAATGTTGTTGGGAATGCCCAAATTTAAAATCTAAACATGAATGCCCTCTGGCGTCTAAGTACACAATGGATGATAGACAGAGACTGCGAATGTTTTGGCTCACAGTAGCCTGTTTGTATTTTTACATACAATATATTTTTTATTAATCAATAAATACAAATTTCAGGCGACCCTGTTTGAATTCCAAACGACCCCATGTGAGGTCAGGACCCCAAGTTTGGGAAAGCCAGGTCCAAATGCCCCCTTTCATTTGAAAATTGTTTCCTAACTGCTTAGTTTTTAAAAAAAATCAACGTTTTACAGTTCAGATTAAACATTGCAAATTTGAAATATAAGTTGCCTACATACAAAATCTAAATACAGTACTCTGGGTTGTTTGGAGCTTCTTCAAATCCCAGATAAGAAAATGTCGGTGAATGTCGTCTTGAAAACTGTATAAATGGGTTTTCAGAACAAATGTCGTCCTGAGAGCGGTTGGACAATGAGTCTCATTATATTGTGCACTTACTCCAGTCTTGTTTACAGACAGAATCCATTGATGGCCCTGGTTTAAGTTCTGTTGTCTTTTTTTTTTTTCCAGCACATCAACAATGACCACATCCACGGGGAGAAGAAGGAGTTTGTTTGTCGATGGGAGGAATGCTCTCGAGAGCAGAAGCCCTTCAAGGCTCAATACATGCTGGTGGTCCACATGCGCAGACATACTGGGGAAAAACCCCACAAGTGCACGGTAAGGATGCGGCTCGATTTACTGCATTTAATTGCAAGTTTTTCAATTGTACATGCAACTCGCTTACACAGGATTCAGGATGTATGAGTGATGTTCTCTTCCTCTTTCCTGCAGTTTGAGGGCTGTGCCAAGGCCTACTCCCGTCTGGAAAACCTTAAGACTCATTTACGTTCCCACACCGGAGAAAAACCTTACGTGTGTGAGCACGAAGGCTGCAACAAGGCCTTTTCTAACGCTTCAGATCGGGCCAAGCATCAGAACCGCACACACTCAAATGAGGTACTGAGATGCTACATTTCAGACGGTTGTTTTTGTTCTCACTGCTTCACATGTTTCTCACGGCGTGTCCTTCTCCTTTCACTCTCAGAAACCGTATGTGTGCAAAATCCCAGGCTGCACCAAACGCTACACGGACCCCAGCTCCTTACGCAAGCATGTGAAGACGGTTCACGGACCAGAGGCGCACGTTACAAAGAAGCAGCGTGGAGATTACCCGCGCCCTCCGCCCCAACACAAGGAGCCTGGGGGCAACAGCCAGGGACGGTCCCCAGGGCACCTGCCCCTGGGTGGGTATACGGACCAAAGGGAGTACAACCATGCTACCTCAAAACAGGATGAATGTCTGCAGGTCAAGTCCATCAAGACAGAGAAGCCTATGGTGAGACTTAACCCAAGCTGTTTGTTTTTAATGCTGCAGACTCTCACAGCTTTAACATTGTGTGATTGTTGTCTACTAATTTTCTGCTCATTCCTTTACTTATACGTATTAGTCGTAGTTCCTATTGTGCAGCTTTCTGTGTGATTTATCATTTACTTGGGCCACGATCATTTAACCCTGAAGTCTTCTAACCCGTAAACGTTTTCTTCTATTCAATGCTTCGGCATTTCTCTCCTTCCCTTTCTATGGACAGTGGGTAATCAGGTGAGATGGGTATCTCTCTATTTGTCAAATTTGAACATTTTCCTTTCAGTTTTAATTGTCTGTCAGACTTTTTCTCATCCCATAACAACTGCTCGACATTCACCAAAATCAATGTTTTCATTGTAAGTTTCTCTCATCCTGCACAGTCATAAAATGTTTTTTTTTTTTTTGTTGGGTCATTTCATTGTAAAACATTGTAAGAAGCACACTTATGTTTACCAAAGGCAATGCATTTTGTGTGACAGTAGTGCCTGCCTTTGAGCAGAGCTGTGAGGGCACAGAGAGCAAGCCTGGAAACGCTCCGGGCTTCATTGTGCTGCCAAAACCCTTCATGCTGTAAACAAGGCGAAAACCTTAAAACGCTGATGACGGTGCATGCCAACAAAGTAATTAATTATTTCTTAGTGCGACATAGTTCCCAAAATTCAGTGAACAACATATTTAGACACCAGTTTTTAACACAAGAGGCCTTTATCTAATTTGTGTATCCTCTGAAAACAACAACCCCTTTTTTTTTTAGCCTGTACTGGCTACAACACGGGGAGGCATTACTTATGCCCCAATAATTTATGAAACGTTCTCTCCTGGAGCCCTTGTTTTTTCTAAAAGAAAAATTGCAGAAGTTTTCATTTAAACAACCAGATTAAACCTCAATGTTTATGCATGATGATTCTTTGAACACATAATTAGAATTATCTGTCTTAATTGTCTTTTATAGATTGTTTTATCATTCTGTAATGTTTTCAGGAATGCATCCTTCAACAGATTACATCGCATCATTGTTTGTGACACATGGCACTGTTGAACTTCTCTCGTGTCTTACCTCAGATCAACTTGATTTTAATTTCTATTTCTTTTCTTCCTTTATTTTCTTTTCCCCGGCCTGTGTCTGTCAGGCGTCTCAGCCAAGCCCTGGCGGTGAGTCTACATGCAGCAGTGACCAGTCCCCCTTCAGCACCTATCCCAGCAGTGGAGTCCAGCTTGCTGTGAGCGCCGGACGCTCACCAAGGGAGGGGCTGGAGGAGAACGAGGAGAAAGAGGAAAAAGAAGTGGAGGCAGAGGAGGAGTGTGAGGGTGAGCCGGCCCCCATTATGGACTCCACAGTCTCCACGGCAACAACAGCCATGCTGACCCTGCAGGCAAGGCGAAGTGTTGGCCGTCCCGTGCGCTGGATGGAGCATATCAAGATGGAAAGGCTGAAGCAGGTGAATGGAGGGCTGCCCAGGCCAGGGACCCTGTCCCCTACACCCCCTCCAAAAGGCTCCACACTACCTACCATCTTGGGGAAGGGTAAGGTTAACTTATTAAACTTTGAACGTATAAAAAACAGTATAAAATTTGAGTTCTAAATGGGTTTGAGAATATATGTTATGTGGCTTCGCAAAGTTCCAGGTTGCCAATAAAAAATAATCTAATCACATGTTTATGGGAGCAGTTTTGGGTTCATTATTGTCTATTGGACTGCAGGAACCGGGCCTCAAATTGTAAATCTGCTGATTGGAGGACAACCAGCTCAACCTCTGAGCCACAGCTGCCCAGAAATAATGTCCTGAATAATGTTTTTCCAAAGTCTTCTTTTGGAGTTATATAACAGATTATCCTTATTTCAACATAGGGTTGAAGAATGGCACTTTGTGTACACAAATCTAGCTTTGAGAAATGATTTATCCTGCATTCCATCTTGCCCGTCTTGGCTGGGGCATTTATGCACACCAAATGCTTAAAATTGTCTGTTCCACTGGGAAATGGTATCAAACCATATCAAGCTGTATATCATATCAGAGAAAATAGCATGTAACAATGTTTCATGGCCAAGTGTTGCCTGTTGTCTATGGCAACATCTGTGAAAGAGATCTCTCCACATTTTAAATCTAACTTTTTTTTTTTGTCTTTTCACTCATTTTCCTGTGAACCCACTATGACCTCATTATGTCCTTATTTTCTCAATTTCTGCCCAAACGTTCTAAATTCCTTTTTTATTTTTGTGTTTCACCTCAGGATCCTGTCTGGGCAGGCAGTGGGGGGTGTCTGCTCCTCAGCCACCTGCTCATGCTGAGCTGGGCAGCACAGAGCTAACAGTGCTTAATTTGCTTCGGGACCGACGTGACAGCAGCGGTAGCGCCACCAGTTCAGCCTACCTGAGCAGCAGTCGTCGCTCCTCGGGCATCTCCCCCCTGCTTCTCCAGTCGACGCTCCAGCCAGGCTTCCCAAAATGAGGGCATGATGGCAGCCACCCAACATCGTCGCCGCCACAACCTTAGCTCCACTGACTCTTACGACCCCATCTCCACTGATGCCTCCCGCCGGTCCAGTGAGGCAAGCCACTATGGTGGTAGCGTCGGTGGAGGGTTTGGAGGGATACCTCTAGCTGGGAGCTGTGGCGGTCTAGGGGGGAGTAGGTATAGGAGGAGGAGGGTCACAGGGGATGCTCACTTTAACCCCAGCACAGCACTACCACCTGAAAGCCAAGTACGCAGCAGCAACTGGTGGCCCACCTCCCACGCCTCTACCCAACATGGAGCGCATGAGCTTGAAGACTCGCATGGCCATGATGGATGACGGTGGTAGCAACCATTCTTTACCACCTCTTGTTAGACCGCATCGCTGCAGTGATGGCATCAACGGGTACACCAATGGGTATATGGGACATTCAGGTTACAGGAGAAGGGTTCTCTTACCTGGTGAGGGGCCACTGAATGGGAACCGGAGGGCTAGTGACCCGGTGCGAACGCAGGCTCCTGATTGTTGCAGTCTGCCCCCAGTGCAACGCTTCAACAGCCTTAACAACCTCCACCCTCTTCCACCTCTGTCTCAATATTCGACGCCAGAAACTCGCAACTTCAGCCTTCAGAACTACACCCGCTCTGAGGGCAACCTGCAAAGAGGTCTTCAGCACTCACCCTACACTCCTAGCATCGCAGAACACTCAGCCTTAGAAGCCCTGGCCATGGAGGATGAGGGGGAGGCTGGTCTTTTGCTTGGGGATGAGGATATGCTACCAGATGACCTGGTGCAGTATCTCCACTCCCATGTTCAGGTGGATGGCGGCTCCTACATGAACGTTGAGGACCAAATAGTTTCTAGCCAAAGGGAAAACTCCCATCCATCTATGGAGGAGATAGAACAGATCCAGAATGGGTTGAATATGGCATTATCTGGTTCCCACTGTCTCCAACAGCAGCAGATGGTCGAGCGGAGGAGCCCGAGTAAGCTTCCAATCCAGTGGAATGAAGTGAGCTCTGGGAGTGCCGACAGGTCTCCTCAGAGGGAACAAAACCACCAGACACAGTGTGGAAGGTGGTCAGGTACCGAACATGGACCGACAGCTGCACCTTTTGGAAGGTTTGGAAACATGGTTGTCCAGCAGCAAGTGCCCCTTGATCTTCAGAACAGTTGCGCCCAGGCTAATCAGTCTCAAAGTTCTTGTTGTGTCAACCCTGGAGTGAAGCTAGAGACATCACCCAGGTCCTGCATGGAGATGCGAGGTACTGGTCAAAACCCTACAAACCCCTTTGGAAGGCCAAACTTTGCACAGATCAACAATGGGCCCCTGCATGAATTAAAACAGCAGGCCTCTCATGGACCTCGAAAACAGAGCCACTTCCTACCAAACCACAACAGCAGCACCTCTTGCCAGATTGGGAACAATCTAGTTCTTACCAGAGCCTCTATGGACCACCTACCCAGTCTCTCCCAGGGAACTGCTCCTCTTCACAATCGGCAGGTCCATGTCCCTCGCCCACCAAACACTCACAGGAACTTGGTCAGAGCCCAGCAGTGTCTCAGTCTAGAGAACTCTGGTGAAATCCAGGGTTGTCTGAACCAGCAGCAACAATTGCAGAGAAGTGGTGACCATTGCTCCCTTGCATATCAGGTATCTGGGCTGAAACTGGAGGCCCCAGACCATGGATACCAAGAGCAGGGCTTTGGCGACTGCCTTTCCTATGAACCAGTGGATCACAAGGCCTCCTCGTACCCTGTTCTGGAAGACCAGTGCTTACTGGACTCAATGGCTGAGACCGTTGGACAAGGTAGTAGCAGTGGAAGCGGGAACTCTGTTGCCCTTCTCTCTCCTGGTGCAGACCAGGTAACAAGCACGGTGGATGGCACTGTCCCTGGTGTATTAGATGAGGGGGTTAGTCTGGACTTTAGTGCCATGCTAGAGGATGGCTTCGACCAAGGTAGCCTGGTCTCTGGGGTGCTGAGTCCCTCCATCTTCCAGGGTCTGTCCAGAACTTCATCACGCCTGACTACACCTCGAGCATCTGCAACCTTCCATAGTGTGGCCCCTGGCCTAAACAACATGGCCATTGGAGACATGAGCTCTCTCCTCACCACACTTGCCGAGGAGAGCAAGTTCCTGGCGATCATGCAGTAGCTGCTCTCTCTCTCTTTCAACTTTCTCCTCCCTTCAGAAAAAAAAGAGAAAACTCTGGTGTATGTGAAGATTAAGACCAAAGTGTCAATTATGAGAACTATATTATGTACTTAGTGTTGTGAAACAGGCGGTTGCCAAGTCTGTTAATTTTGTAAAAAAAAAAAATTCATCCCACTCAGAAATGGGATGTGTCAAAATAATGTACAGATACATAGTTGTATTCCTTTTCTGGAATGTAGGCTATTTTTGGAAGCTCTTCTCTTTGTAAAACTTTGAAATGTTGAGCTAAAGCTCACTTCCTTGAAACAGTATTCTGTGTATTGTCACTGTTTTTGCTATACACACTGATGGTCAAAATGCATGTATTCAAGGTAATGGAAATCATCAATATAAGTACATCTACTCTAGCCCATACACCAAGTATCACCCGTTCTGGTCCCAGAGGTTCAAATCTATTCTCCTTAAAGCAGGTCAGACATAACCCTAACTCTGATGATATCTTTATACATCATACGTTTTAAAAAGTGGTGGAATCTGTTGTCATTTAGTTTGTATGTTAATTTTGTGAATCTGTAAATGTTACAGTGTTCTACCAGGTTTTACCAAGTGGTGTTTTAGTAACTACAGTATGGCATCGAGTCCAAAAAATGAACACATCACACAAGACTCGGAGGCAGCCACAGTTGTCTTCTTCATATCTAAAATGGCTCAATTTAGTTAGTCTGCTGAGGTACTCACACGTGTATATAACAGTGTTTTTTATAATCTGTTTGTGATAATCCTGTTATTGACGTTGGATTGCACGGTTGCTGGAGTTGATACAATGAACGGACATTGGTGATCAAAGGTCCCATTCGGTGCTTTATGTATGCTTACATAAATAGATATTTGTACTTCATGTTTTTAATCTGTCTTAATGGCCGTCAGTGGTCCATAGCACATGGTTTTCCCTCTCATGATTATAAATGTAAAGTGGTGTTTTTCTCCAATAGGAAATCATCTGTGTTCTCTCCAAAGCTCTTAAATTCAGAATGTGTACTGCCATCGAGTATTGCAGTGATTTTGTCAAAACAGTGTTAGTATTGCCTTGCAGTCTTCTTTGACTGAACACAGAATATTGAGTAGTTTACCTTTTATTCAGCGTCAAAGCAATGAGGTACAAATGGTTTTCTTGTTCTTTGGTACTTTTGTCATTTTTGTAGCTGTGCATTGATGTTTTTTTGTTTTGTTTTTGTTTTCAAAAAGTAGAAATCATTTCCTTTTGAAGGAAGGAAATTACATTGAGGTATGTGCCTTATAAGTATCTGCCTGACGGTAAAGAGAAAGATCACTGCCAATCTTCCATTGTGAATTATGAAAAAGAGAAACATTTTAAGTGTCTTTTAAGACCGGGGGAAAAAAAGAGAAAATGATAGAAAATTTATATAAGAAAAGTCTGAATATGAGAAAAGTTAAGATTTGCGAAATGCATTCTACTTTTCTTTGATTTTTTTTTCATTTTCACATTAATTGTGCTTTTTATATATATTGTGTAAATACAATACTCTTTCTGTAGGTTTAGCAGAGGACAGGGGAAGTAATCCTGGGGCCAATAAAGAATAGACTTTGAAAGCAGGGACTCCCAGGCCCTGGGTAGAGGGCCATGCAGATCTGGCTCAGTGCAGAGCTTTCAGGGCCCCGCACTGCCCTCCGCCCGAAGAGCCGCTTTGCTCTTTTATAACTGACTACAAATGTTTGTATGGTTTTAATAAAAATGGAAATTATATTTCAAGTCTCCTCTCGGTTTTTTATTGGGATGGGTTTGATCATTCATGAAACGTGTTGGTTTGGATTGCAGACCACAAACCAATATTAGAAGATCTACTTTAGCCACAGCTTAAACTCTCCTTATATTATCCTGATCACCTCCTCATACATTATCTAAAAACAACAATGCATTACCTGTCACTGTCCTGATTACAAAGTTCGTTGTGAAGAACTTTGTTTGTAATCAGTCATATATTTATTAGCTATTTGACTTCTGTCATCTTTTCTTGAAGAGCACCTGATTCCTCTACATTTATTGACCCAGTGCAGAGCTCGCTTCAACCGTTTAACATTTAAATACTGCCTTTATAACTGAACTCAGTAGATAGAAAGATCAGTCTACACCACAGACTCCATTCATTGTACGTTCTTCGAACTTCTGATGCCCTCTTGTGGTCTTTGTAGGAAACTACAATAACTCTTAAAGGCAGCAGTTAAGAGTGTGAGAATCTGATCCTCTTGGATTTGTAAGCAGTTAAGAATGATTTGTTTGGTTACATATTTACATTAAAAATCTGCCCTGCCCTCGTCTCTCGAAGATAAGATTAAAGTCAGCTGTTAAGTGGCCATGCTCGTTCACACCATCATCTATTCCAGTGCTTATTCCACTAGAGCCCAAATGTATTTTAAGAGCTTTTTAAGGCTCACAGCACATCGGCTCATTTCTGAAGTCCTCTTGGAGCACTTTTTTTTTGCAAGCACAGAAAGCTCTTGCGTCATTGCCTAACTTTTCAGATGGAGAAAAAAAAAAACAGAATCCATTCTAAGAGAGTCTCCCATTATGCTTTTGAGAAGATCTACACAACAGCAAAAATGGTGACCGAGATGAAGGATACAGATAAGAGCTGAAAATTGTTCCAACTGGACATAAGAAGGACCGATTGTACTTTTGAGGGTCTGATGCTGCAGGAAGTCACATTCACCACTTTGTCATCTTCAGAGTGCATTTTTCAGGCTCTTATATGGACAGCTAACGTACACTTATAAGGTCTGTACTGATGTCACGGCTGATTCCTGTTATCTTTAATATGAATCCAGTGATGAGGATGTGCAGGACATCAGAATGAAGAACTGGGGGGGGTTGGTATATAATAGGAAACATTTTATTACTAAAAAGTGGTCTCATACTGAAGGTGCTCTTTCAGCAGCTTTTCCACAACTATTCTTTATTGAAATCACAAGATCGTTTTTTTTTTACCACTTCATGGAAAAAAAAAAAAAAAATCACACATGAAATGACTAACTGTGGACTATATACAACAATAAGAGGGGAGGAGGGTCAAAGGTGTGGCTTCATGAGGCCAGCATTGTTTGGTGTTTTTAAACACACTAGGCTCATACAGGAGGCACTTAAATGTGAGAGCCTTAAAGAGCCAGGACCGAGCCAGAGCGCTGGAAGGAGAGGAAGGTTTAAAAAAAGAAAACACAATATGGAAATGTCCAGCAACAGAAAACAATGACTACCTGCTTTGAAGAAAAAAGAAAATTCTTGTTCCAAGGAGTTTATCGTTTGCATCTTTGCCTTCAGTTCAGAGCTCACAGCCTGAAGAATTTGGAGTTGCTGCCACATGTGGGACACTGATGCACATACAGAGCATTTACATAGGCCTGCACCACAGAAATCTAGCGCACACAGAGTGCACATTCAAAAGCATGCATTGCTCTACAATGAGAAATTGTGGTTTAAAAAAGAGATGATATTTTTTTGACTTTTGCAACATCAAAACTCAACTGTCTGCTGCTTGAGATCGGTAATGCAATAGACGTACAGTATTTACAGGAATTATCTTTTTTTTTCTCTTTAAAACATCTGTCACTCCAATGCCAGTTAAAAAAAAAAAAGAAGTCCATAACTGCATTGCTGGGTATGGGGGGAATTTTACAATGATATATCGCAAAATCTGTCTTCAAGAATGGCTACCATCTGAATGATCTATGTACAATAAAACAATTATGTATCCATAAAGAGAACAAGTCAAGGAAGAACAAAAATCCATGACATTCTGATTAGAAGTCTGTGGGGTTTGCTGCAGAGTTCCTGTCAGAGCTGGTTTATTGGTTGGTTCTGTGTCTGCTCTGGGAGTTTGTGGCGTTCCAAGGTCTCAGATCTTCTCCTGGATGAAAGGGTGCTGCAGAGCCTGGTTGATGGTGATGCGTTTGGCTGGGTCCAGCATCAGGGTGCCATCCAGCAGGTCCTTCAGCTGCATCACTTTCTTCCTCTGGTCCTCAGGCAGGCGCTGACCTCCTATCATGTCTGTCAGCAGGTCTTTGGTGGAGTTGATGGTGCTCATCACCGTCACCTTCTCCTAACGGGGCGGAGAAATGGAGAAAAGACATTTAAAGTTGAATGTATGTGGGGGGGAAAATTCACAAACGGCATGTTAATTTTATCAAGCGATTGCACTATAAGAAGTAAAGAACGTCCTTACCCTCTCTGTCACTTTGTCCACTTCGATGTACAGGAAGTTCAAATTCTGATCAAAGTGCTGGTCTTTGAACAAGCCTTTGCGGATCATCTGAGGAAAAGAAACCACGGCGTTACATCAGCTCTAACTTCTACAACACTGCATGGATCCAAGTTTCACTTCATCTAGGAAAGGCAAACAACAGCTGACACAACTGACGCTGTGTGATGCAATCTTACCTTGTTGGGCATCTTGCCCTTCAGGTCCATAGCTAGCTTGATCATGTGGTTGTTGGAAGATCCAGGAAAGAGGATTTTTCCGGTGTAAAGCTCATATAAAGTGCAGCCAACAGACCACATGTCGATGCCATAGTCGTACGGCTTTCCTATGACTGAAGCAGAGAGAAAGGGTGAGCTTTTGAATTTGACTGCTTTAAAGGTGAGAGGAGTAATGTTAAAAAAAAAAAAGAAGCAACTTACTGATTTCTGGAGCTCTGTAGAATCTGCTGACCAGGTACGGTGTGATGTCGTTATCAGCCACATGGGAGGCCGAACCAAAATCACACAGCTTCAAAATGGTCTTTGACTCATTCACCTTTGAGGACAAAAAAATAAGAACATGAGACATGGTGTTGTTTTTTTATTTCAAGTAAAAAAATAAAATAAAATAAAAAAAGAAGGTTGAGAGTCACACCGTACCAGGATATTATCTGGCTTGATGTCAGCATGGAGGATGTTGCATCGTTTGAGCAGCTTGAGGGCCAAGAAGAGCTGCTGGCTGTAGGAACGCACAGCTTTGAAGTGGAGCCCGACATCTTTACCGTACTTCTTCAACACCTCTCGCAAATTCATACTACAGATAAGAAAACAACAGGTCATCAGAGGGTGACGGGATGCACACGTCTGAATTGATGGGAGGGAAGGAGAGTAGTGTCTTCCAGTACCTGAGAGGCTCAAACACCAGACAAAGGTGCTGCTTGTGGTAGAAGTGCCTGAAGAGACGGAGGCAGTGGAACTTGTCGTCAGGATCTGCGTCATTCAGCTTCTTGAGGAATTCTAACTCTTTCAGCCCGGTCTTCTGCCTGTGAACCAAAGAGGCGTTCATACTCTTAATCAAAGCTAATTCAATCCAACATCCATGACATTGTTTTTAAGTTGACAGAATTATTTTTCAGAATCAATAATGTTTTGATATATATTTCTGATGCTCATGTATGAATGCTACTACTTGATATAAAAGGGCTCTGACTCACATGAGCTCGTTGTTTCGGATGATCTTCACTGCCACCTCCTGGCCGGCCCGAGCAGTGTCCCTGGCTCTGATCACATTACTGAACACTCCCTGGCCAGTGTATCCGTACACATCATAACGCTTATCCAGAGTCTCTCCGATGTTCACTCCTAAATAACAACACAGCAAACAAACATGTTGGCAAAATAGACTCCACACAGAGTCAGGTGTATGTCCTTAATCCTTTTCAATTACCAAAATGGAGAAGCCGTTATATAGAAGACACTCCATGTATCAGGGATGTGATTGGCAAAGGATGAAAAATCAGCACTCACTGTAGTAACCCTCAGCATCAGTCCAGTTGTCCCTGAGGTTGGGGTTCTCCTTGAAGTCCTTCCCGACACCTGCTGCTCTCATCCTGGCACTCTGCAGAAACAATACAAACATGATCAGGGGACTCCTCTATAACCGCGGTGTGTGTGTGTGTGCACAAACGTGCGCCATTTCCCACCAAAAGTTCGAGATCTATAAAAACAAACCCGCTGCCTGCACGTTTGTATACATTTTCATTAACAAGCTGCTTTGCATTGACCATTTTAGGATGAATGTAGGGTGTGTGGAGGGCTGCTTAGGGGGGCGGATATGAGAGCACATTTACAGGTGGATCCTGAAGGGAACATAGTATGAAGGTGTGGGGTTTTAATAATCTGAAAATGATTTCTATGATTCAGCAGCTCATACATTTTTAGTTTGGATTCTACCCGCTGTTTAAAACTGAGACCCAGAACATTTATAACAGAGCAGAAGATGAAAAGACGTTTAAATTTTCTTACATCAAAGTCGGCAGCAAACATGTCATCAGATTCTGTAAACATGTCGGGGGCTGAAGGCTTCTTTGGGTTTGCTCCTGAAACAAAAAAAAACAAAAAACAAAAACAACAACAAAGGGTGAGTTTCTGTTCATCGACCATGTTGTAAAACAGAATATCTTGTACTTGCGATTGATTCACATACTCTGCAGAGATCAAAATATGCTGCAGGTGGCAGAGACACCCAGGCTTTGGATTACAAGCCAGCAACTGAATGAACACATGACAGAAAGAAAGAAAATCAAAAGGGCTGCATCATACAACTCTGCATTTCTCACACAAATTAGGCCCCCAAATGCAACTAGTTTAGTTTCAGCCCAGTTTTCTTTGACGGATATCAAACAGAACCAACAGATATGTTTTTTTTAAAGGAGTAAACATTCATGCGGTGTGTAAAGTTGTGAATTCAAAAGGCAGGGCAAAAAAGGCTAGCAGTAAGCCATCCCACCTTTTTTTTTTTT